TCATATTTGCCCCATTCCCAAAAAGGGTTGGCATTCACAAGGTGAGGTGTCAGTTCCTGCTGTCAAAGCTGTCCTTCTTGATGTCTCCCTGGCTCGAGAAAAGTTAACACCTGCCAACCTACAATGGAATAGGCACCTAGCTTTCTGACACAAGGCAGGGGGTGGTGTGTGATCTGAGCAAGGCCCATAACCAGAGCTCCAGGGGTGCTGCCTGCTGAGTGACCAACCCAAGCATGTGTCATCACTTGTATGCGTCTGTCATAGACAAAAACAAAAACATTATTATTACTATTGTCCTCCCCATGCTAGTGCTGCTTACACTCCCAGGTCTACGGTGTCAGCTTTAGCTGCTGCCCATTGAAGATGTTGGGATCTCTGATCATGGATTAAGCAGTACAATGTCCATTCAGGCACCCGGGGATGGTGGTGGCCTAATGGCTATGGAAGTGTACCTGTAATTCAAGGGTTGTTGGTTCAAATCCCTCATCTGCAAGAACTACCGAGGTACCCTGTGCGAGGAACCACTCCCAAGCACTGCTCCCCGGGTGCTGAATAAGCAGTTCCCTGCTGTCTCACATATGGGTTAAACGCATTCTGTTCTTGTTGTGGTGTGTTAGCAATGACAATTAATCACTTTCACTATATCTGCATCTTAAACTGCATGTCCAAGATCCATTCCCATGGCAAAATACAAGTTTCTGTTTCACATTCACTAAGGGTGTATGAACTGGAAAACGTAACTGTGATGTTCTGGGTTTATCGCCTTTGTCACAAATTCCAGCTTATTTTACAGTCGTCCATTGAATTCAGTAATAGTGCTCTTTTATCTCTTGATGCAGGTGGTTTGAATAAGCATTAGTAGCTTTTGGTTTTAAAAAACAATGAGAAACGGCAAGCTATAAGCTCGTGTGAGGTTCTGGGTTCCTGGTCCCCAGTTCCGCACCAACATTCCAGCTGGAAAGCTGAAAAAACTAACCGCACAGAGGAAACGTCTGGATGAGGTCTGCAATTATTAGACAAGGACAATCTGCTCTGAAACTGTTTTTTCTATTCATTACTACAACAAAAATTCATAATAAGATAAACAAAGGCTAGTGCAAAATTGTTTTTTATAACCTGGTGAATGACTTATTGCTATATTATATATTATGCTATTGATATATTAGAAAATAAAAAAACACAAAAAATCCAGGCCTGAAATGACCCTGCATGTAATTTGTAGTTTATTGCAGTTAATGAGTAATTTTTGTCCCAAATGAAGTTTACACCATGATTAACTAATTAGCTAACTTAACTAATTTAGTGCTTGAATGGAATAGAGGAACTGTCATGATTGATTAATGATGAACAAGCATGGGATCAAACACTTAGTTGCTTAGTTAATTAGTAGTAAAAGTAAGCATCTACTACTACATTATTCATGTCCCCTTTAGTAAAGTGTGACCCAGGTCTCTGACCCCTGTGAATGATATGCAATGTCCCAGAAATCTCTCGGCTGTCCCTCACAAACCTCCCTGAAATCAGTATGCCTAAGAGGAGATGTCTACATCTGTGAGGCTACACTGAGCTGGGGACGTAGGAATTCTGCTCTGAAGAACCATCAGGTTCCGGTTTCCATGGCAACAATTAACAATAGTCTGTTCTGATGAGAACATCCACTTTTTTATTGGTCATCTTCTCCCTTTCCTAGGCATTACACCCCCGAGTAACAACAAATACATAGAAGAAATAGACTCATTACAAGACAGCTTCCGTTCAGGCAGTTCAATCTAATGCCACTGTTTAATGCATGTTTCCATCAATAAAAGGCTTTCATTGGCAAGCTTTCTCATAAAAGGCATTGACTCATTTGGTGTGCAGCAGTATAAACATTTGCTTCTCCAATTAGCAAAGCACGAACGCAGGAACTACGCTGCATTTTTCGAAACTAGTGGCATGGTGATAGAGGAAGACTAGTGGATAACAATGACTGCATGACCCGACCTAAGTAACCACCTAGCCTGCATCTAATTTACAGCAATAACCCCTAAGCCCACACAAAAGCTACAGCTGTTTTATAGAAGCAATAAATAAATCATAATTGACCAATGTGACAAAGACAAGTTACTATGAAACACAAGAATTTCATCAGCATTACATTTGATAGAAATTTCAGTTAAATTGAGTGTTATGTAACTTCATTACAGCTTTGAATAAATAAATAAGACGTCAGCGTCTCTGCGGCCAAGCTTTAAAGTTTTACTTAGACAGCTGATAAAAGCGACTGACAGGGAAAACAGCAGGGCAACCAAAGCAACAGCATTAATTAATTAAATGAAACAGATTCAGCCAATTCTCTGCATAATAACACAGACCGGTCTAGACTGCACGTTTTAGAACTCTTGAATAAGAACATTCACTAAATATAGCAATTTCTAACATTATCTAAAGGCAGGAAAATGTCTAGCATACTTTGACTGCTGTGATACACATCAAATCAGCCAGAGGAAATATAACACAGGACTTTCTGTTTTAGACCTTGTTTAGTTTAGTATTTGGATTTTTTTAATTGATAGCCTGCCTTTTTTATACCGATAGGCCTACAGATGCCCACCATTACTAAAGAATAAAAACCTTTTTAGGACATATCTATTTTATTACACCAGGTAAACAATGCATTTTACTTATGTTGCAAAACTTACCAGACCAGATGGCCATTTTAAAAATTATTGACTGTGGTAATATTATTCTATTCATTCATTTCTCTCACCATCAAAATGAAAAAGAAATGATTTCTGCAAAGACATAAGACCCACTTACGCAGAAAGCTTGTGTAACTTAGACAGCAAACCCTTGACCAAGATTCGGTCAATTTAAATCAGCAAATTTTTGCCTAAATTAGGCTGGGCCTGATACATACGTATCAACCGGGATTCACTAAGAATATTTTATCAGCTGACTCCTCCTATTGAATGTTTTCAAGTAGTTTTTCCATGTATCTTTTATATTTTTCAGAAAATGAATTGATCTCCATTTTTTTAATTCTAATTCAAGCTGTTGACTTGCAAGATCAGGGCACCAGGTAACTCACAGCAACCCAGCTTTCAATAACTGAAATAACGAAATAAATAACACAACTTCAGAAAATCAACTTTGTCCAGTTTTAATGAAGGAAAGATCTCATAGTCAGTGAAATTAATTAATTAATTACTTATGTTTGCAAATACCCATTTAAAAAAAGGGCGTGTACATCAGGTGGGAACTGATGCTGAGAGGTCCTCCGTTCGTTTGGAATTGTTTATCATCTCCCTCAGTTTGCATTAAAAATGTATTTATAAGAAGAAGACATGAGGATTTTTCAATATTCTTTCATGAATAGAAGGACACAGCTTTTATGTATATATGTATAAGACATCCAGATTCATCAATGACACTTAGGTGTATCATTGAGAAATCTGAGATTAAGTAGTTTGTCTGACTACAAACCAAGTTATACAACTACATGAATGGAAATGCACTGGGAAATGTGAGGTGATTTTTAACATTGCAATTTTCTACTGATAATCACACCAAACAATAGAATGTATATATATGCTACCAAAAAAATATATATTTAATATTTATTAATGACACAATATTTTCTTCATATTAATTCAACTTGTGCAATATCATTACTTATCATCAAACAGTATATTGGCAGGAAACTCTATATAGTTGGTATACAATTGCAATTTTTTTTCCTTTAGCCTGTTATACAGTTGACATTGATGTTGGTTTTGATTAACTATGAAGGAAGAAAGTAGTTATGGCTTGTGTCAGACGAGCGGTCGTTACACGCTTTTTGGCATAGTTTGTGTTTATCACTTCCATTTTCATCCCCCTTGAGGTTTGTGTAGGATGTCCAATAAGAAGGATTTACAAAATACTATAAAACAATAAAGCTCTGCTTTGTAGTGGCAGGAAGAGAAAACACAACACAAAAGCCCCACACATTTACTAATTTTCTTTGCAGATGCCTCTACTTTAACAGCTTACCCACTTAGTCAACTGGCTGTTTACTATCAGCACACAAGAGCAGTGGCTTAAATCTGAATGCTTTCATTTACACATTTAGCCTCCAAACCACTTTGCTACTTGCTCTTGTCCTTATGGGGAGATGAAGGGGTATTAACCTCCACAGTAATCAAAAACAGTCAATACCAACCCCCCCCC